TATATGAACACCTCAGACTCCTTTAAAGTTGAAGCTGTGACCCAGGAAGCTGACATCTTCTATTCATTCACATTCAGCAGACATCACATTCGTTCTATTACTGACAGTGAATGTAATTAGAAGTCAACAACAGAACATTTCCAGCGTGTAGTAAATGTGATGCGGTGGCAGAGGGACAGGTGCACACTGGCCCGGCTGGCCCACGGCACACACCGTCACAGTAAGTGGGTGTTGTTGGCCAGCGTTGGTTCATGCTCCACTGTCTGTCGTGGCTTATATGTCACGAGGGCCTGGCGCTGCTAGGTCATGCAGAGATGACAGTTAAAAATGAGCTGTGCCGTCTTACAGGTCCCACAATGCACAGCAGACCGGGACTGCAGCCAGATGCACTTCACAGGACACCTGACGTTTATATTTAACGCCGTCGTAAAACTTACAACCGCGAGTCACGTGTGTAGCTTCATGTTTGCTGAAATGATGATCTGAGAGGTGAGGTGTGAGCATGAATAAACCTGGAATCTACCTTTAAAATATATCACAACACGCTAGATTAATAAGAATTAAAAAAGAAGCACACAACAAATAAAAGTAAGCTGAAATTACAATAAACTGGCCTCAAAGACAAAAGGTCTCCTTAAAAGCTGAATGTTTGTACCATGAGGAGAGAGCTAAACATCAGCTGTGCCGTGTACCCACAGTGTCTATATTAATATGTCTGTATGTACATGTATGAACATTTCTGACATGCTGCCGATGTGTGTGTCACTGGGAGGCTGTCCCAGGAAAGTCATTGTCAGGCTGATGTTTCATGACTGTCCGTGACTCTTAAAATCTTCCTAGAAGTTGCAGCGCATCTTGCCCGGGGGTTGAATTCATCTTCAGGAAAACATATTTAACTCAGCGGGCTATTTTAAAAACACTCTTTAGCTACGAGCAGCGAGGAGACGGCATGTGAGAGGAAAGGCTGAATGCCGTCAGTCGGACTTCATTCAATACCAAGCCTCTCACTTGCTCGTTCTGGGGGAGGGCAGATAGTCGTACGCACTTGATCAAGTCGGGGAACAAGTCCTGCATGTGGCGTCATCAGGGTGACGTGCCTCCCAACAAGGCCATGCCTTCTCTACATTGCTTCCCTAAAACACAAGTTGGTTCGTGTGACTGTTTGGCGGCGGTCTCTGGAGGCTGTGTGATCTCAGCTGCTCTGCTCATTGATTTAATCCCTAAAAACTCATCTGTGTGTATCAAAGTCACATATTTAGAAGTTTATTTTCCCCATGAAAATAATCCCTTCCTGCCCTAAAACAGTTCAGACGTAACTCTAAACCCTGGCTTTATTTGGAATGTCTGATTCTGTCTCCATCACTGGCCATCCACTGCAGCTTGAGCAGTCCAGCTTACATGCAGCTCAAACACTGTAAAACTGCTCAACCCTTCCAACATCCAGATGTAAAGCGGCGTCAGTTAGCCACACATGTCCGACTGAGCTAGGAAGCACATGCAGAGGAACAACAACGATGCAGACAGCGGCACCGTGTTCTCTAAGTCTGACATGAAAGCCTGGAAGTCTGGATGTGAGTTTCTGAGACTCAGCAGCAGTTTCAGGGTGGAAATGCTCAGCCATGGCGTCGACTGCTTGTGTCACTCAGGATATGCCTTCTAACAGGAAAAGGACACCTTATGGAAACGTGGACAAGGCACAAGATGGCGTTATTATAAGCAGCCACTCGTCACTGCGACATGTGCTGCTTCTGTGGTCAGGTTTCTATGTTTAGCTGACTGACATCATTCCAGTCAGATATCTAGAAATATGTTTTAGCACTGAATGAATCAGCTGAGAGAAAATGGACAGACAAAATCTACAAAGAACAACTGAAAATGTTCATAACTGACTGTCCTCTTCACATATAAGAACAAAAAGCTGGGTATGACTTACTGCAGGGGCTACTCTGGTGATACAGCAGGTGTGAGAACGACAGGACAGGTGCCAGCTCGCTGCGGAGCCCCACGTTTCCTGCCTCATTTGTCTCCTGCGACTCTACGCCAGTCGCTGCGCCTTTCAGCTGCTGCCCCGCCCCTTCCTGGTCAGCCCAGACCACGCCCCTCTCCCTCAACACCAGGTGCTCCAGCTCGTGGTTCTCCATCTCGTCTGCTCCTGTGGCCAGCCCAGCCCCACGCAGCGCAGCGTAGTGCTGACTGTAAGCTGGCAGCACTAAGTTCACCATCCTAACATGCAACAGAAGAAGAACATTGAGACATCCCCCAGGAAACAGCCCTGGGTCAGAGTCAGGTGAAGTGCAGCTTCTTCAGATGGACTAGAGGAACAGAAACCTTAATTCAACGGGAACATACTTCTGCATGCGCTTGTTCTCCTGATCCTGCAGTGCAGTGAGCTCGACCATCTGCTTTATATGTTGTTTGAGATCATTCACCTGCAGCTCCAGCCTGTGGCAGTGCAGCTCCTTCTCCAACACCTGAACAAGGGGGAGAGGTCCGAGAGCAGAGATAAGGAGGCAGAAGCCACTGAAACATAACAGCAGACTGAATTAGCAATCCAGTGGGCAGAAGTAAAAGTGGTAGGGGGTCAGAATACTAGGGAGAAGATGCAAAGTTCTGTGTTCATCCATGTTTCATCAGAGAAGCTGTCTGCTCAGGGAAAGGGAGGGGAGGGAAAAAAAGAGAAAAACTCTGACGTAAAGAAACTACGAAACAACAGCAGAGAGAACATTTGACCGGTGGGTGCGTCATAGTTCTGGGTCAGTTCCTGGAAGAAAGGATAAAGAAGAAAAAAATAACATGGACCTGGTTTTAGGTAACTGGCTGCTGTGTGAGGGATGAGTAAAGGGTATTGATTTATTCTCTTCAGTGATCCACGAGTGAGCTGGAGAAATAAAATGAGCACGGTTCTAATTACTGAGAGAACAGATGGGAAGAACAGACAGTCACGACACCAGTAGAGACACAGCCTACCTTCCAAAATAAACAAACAAAAAACACCAAGCAGTGAGTTTTGACGGATGTAACCCACATTGTAAAGTTTTTCCACTATTTCCAATCATGCTCATTGGCCTTCTTCTATTTCATCAGGTTTAGCTGTACTCCCCGTTTGCCTCTAACGGTGTAGAGAGCGGCTAGAACCTGTGAGTGATCCATCGCAGTGTGGTTGGAATGTATAGACACATGAATGCAGGTATTACTGTTGCACAACTTCAATTAGATAAAAAATAACGACAGACTCTAATTAAGCTTGACTGAACTGCTATGAGCTCAGCAGCAAATACACGTGTGTGAACAGTCTATGACGAGCTCCTCTGTCGCAACAGAAAGACTAATTCTTGTTAATTACTTGGTGGTTTTCAGCACCAGTAAATATGAACGGGTCAGTAAGTTCTGCTTACCTCCGAGGTCTGATCATTTGACTTCAGCAACTTAATCTCGTTTTCGACACGATGCAGCCAACCATCGTTTTCCAGAAAACGTGCCTCTGCCTCCTTGAGACGTTTGCAGACGTGCTGCTGCTGAGTGCGTAAGCTGGCGATCCTCCGCTCGTGCTTACATGTGGCCTGTTGAGAACAATAATGGTATGAATGGTGCGCTGGTGTTGGAGTGACATGCTACTGCCTCTGTATGAAGCAACGTGGTAACAAGACCCAATTAAACAGGTCACAGTCATCTCGCTTGTTTTTGGAGGTACATCTGAAAAAAACACTTCTCTTAAGAATGGGGATAATTTGTGAATGAAGGTTTATTCAGTGGCAGCAGAACATCCAGCACCTCTCACTCAGTTGTTAGCAGATTGTTTGGGATGAAAGCAAACCATTTTACAAAGTTTGGTAGCTAAAATCCCTGAGAATTGACTTTTTTGTGCAGCTGGGGCCGACAGTGGGACACAAATGGCAGAGAAGAGCCAGGACCTGATGAGCAGTGACCCTTTCCTGTAGTGGCGTAAATGAGAGGCTAAGACAACTATAGAGAGCAGAGAAGTGAAATGATGACTCAGCAGCTGTTTTTCTGCAGGGATGATGGAATCTGTGGATAGCAGCGTAATCAGCAGCTACCTTCTCAGTCTTTTCCTTGGCACAGAAATATTGGACCTGCAGGTTGTCCTCCTCGCTGTAGCGCTGGCGCAGCTCATTCTCCTTCAGTTGTCTCTCCAGATCCAGCTGTTCTCGCCTGATTTGGGCTCGGCTTGAGAAGATTTGCTGCAGAGCTTCTGACACCCTAGAGAGTGAGATTTTTATCACAAACTTTGCCCTAAAATGTCAAACTTTTGAAGTAAAATTAATTGTTTAAAAAACAAACCACAGTGTATTTAACTTCAGTAAAATCACTGAGCAGGTCACTGAAAGAACAATCTGGGATCCAGATAGCCACCGTTGTCATCCGACACCTACATATCATTTAATTCCTACAGTTAAAACCGATAGAAGTGGCCTTTAAAGCCGCTGTACGGGGACACGTGTGCGGTCTGAGGCAGGTATCTGTGAAGCCTTGCTGCCCAGGGTTTTCTGCTAAGGTCAGAGAGCCGTCCATCAGCTCTGGTCACTTGTGAGGCTGCAGTGGTGTTGCTTTGGACGGTATTAGACTGAAAGTGTTTTTGTCCACTCTGACTCACACACATGAACAGGGACAGAATATTAGAAACACCTCTTAGTATAATGCAATGCAATAAAACATCAGCATCACCACAGGGATTCAGGCCAAATGTGATTAGAAGCTGCTGTGCCACATGTAAGGGGCAAATTTAATATATTGCTGCGCCAAGAGCTCTTTGCAAACCACTTGATCAAGTATTTAACACATCCTAAAAGGTCAGGAGATATTTAATATTTTTTCAACACATTTAAATCAGTTTAAATACATTAATACAACTAATAATACGAATGTAAAGGCACCGCCATATAATTACATCAAATGTATGCATGACTAATGTTTATCACGATTAATTAATGATGCGCTAAGGCAAGAGTCAATTATTAACCCACAGCATATAACTTTTTACTTGAATCCTGAGCTTCCACAGGATGCCACTTGTGCTCACACTGAGCCACAGAGGTATTCTTAGCTATATGATGTATATATGTATTCCTGGAATAGAGGTGAGGTGATACCCAGATTGGATGCAAGTAGCTGTCTAGTTGAGTTAAAGCAGGAGGAGAGACAGGAGAGGCATGCAGGTAAATAAGGCTGGAGAGCTGTCGCTGAAATGTGACTGCACTCTTCAATGTAACTCCAGTGACGTAGGAGACGTCGTGGCCTTGCTAGACTGCTGAATTTTTAATAGTGTGAGAAGCGTGCAGCCTCTATTCAGAGCCTCTCAGTGTGCGAGTTGTGAATTCTGATGCCAGTGAATGAAGTGTGTGGGAGTGAGACTCATTCAGCTTTTCCTTGTCCCCCGCCCCCAACCCAAATACCACCACAGATGCCACTTTATGCCATAAAGACAACTGGATGCGAGCTAGCTGATCTGATTTAAGTCAAATAAATAAATATGTACATATGAGCTGATTTTAAAAAAGAGCATGAGAGGCACAGCTGTTGTTATGAGGATTAAAACCCCACACTGAAAGACACTAAAAAGACACTGAAGCTAATGCTGGTCATGGTGCTGCTTTCCACTGTGGCGTACCTGCATACTGAAGCATGTCAGCGGCAGAGACGAAGCATTTCTTTCCTAACACAAAACTGTGAATGCTAATCGTTTTCAGTCCTGATCTTTAGGCCTCAAAGCACACCTGTGCTTTAATCCCAGAAGTAAAACAGTCTTTAGTTTAGAACGCATCGTCACTGTTCCACTTAAATATCAGTACAACGTATGCAGAGAAACACAAGTGATGAACATGACCATAAACGGTTTCTAACTTTAAATGCAGAAATAAAATAATGCTTTTCTTCACCTTGAACTTATCTGAAAGTGCAGCTACTTCCTGTCAAACTGTCTATCAGTAGAAGTATAGCCAGTGTGTGTCTGCTCTGAGCTGGTCCACTGACTGCAGAACAGGTCAGGAGTGAATATGAAAAGAAGCTCAAACTGTCTTTGAGTGTAAAAATAATGATGTGCTGCAGCGTTTCAATCCGTGGACAATACGGCAGCTTTAATTCCAGACTCATAAGAAAAAGAAAGACCGAGGTGTTTCTGTCCGAAGGCCTGAGGAAACGGGATTAGTGAGAATTCATGTGACGCATTTCCTTTTAAAAACTATAGAATTCATAGCAAGAAAGGCTATTTGCTTTTTAATGGGGCTTGTCATACCCACAAGTGCAGCATGAGGTCATCACTGAAGATGCACTGTTTTCCAGGAAATAACAGTTTTCCAGGAGGTTCAAGTGCCAGTTTCATGGGATAGCATTTCAAGGGAGTAGGACAAACATGGCAGCAACACAAACAAGCTGTTTAAAGGTAAATCAGGTCAGCTAGGTGGCTGTACGCTGGTCTTACACAAGTTAACGGATCAAGGATGTGTTGTTTGGTAATGGACCTTGGGTTCTGACACTGTGTCTTCACTACATTGTGGGTGGGCCAGCTGTCAGAAACCCCACTAATGCGCTGTGTTGTGACTATATGAGCGTGGCAGCACAAGCAAACCGCTGGTGAACTAAGGATACCCACACTGACACCGCGCTACTATTCAAAGCATGTAGAGCAGCTGTGGGGCAAAAAAATAAAGAAGAAAATGTCGCTTTGCTTCTGTTTTTGTAGCATTTTTCATGTATGACACCTTGAAAAGTGCTGCTCCTGGCTGGAAACTACAGCTGAACTTTGAGTAGAGCTTAACAAAAGAGTGAAGTGAAGCTGTCCAAACGCTGACCACCATCACTCACCGCTCTCCGGTCCTGACACAGAACATTACACATCAGCATTCATGCTTTAAGCAGTCTGTTTGTAGTAGAATTGCCTTGAGTGATTTCTGGCTTCCATCACTTTTGGTCCAACTTGGAGTTGTACAGTCGAACGGTGACCTTCACCAGCACCCCTGCATCCGAGGCTGCTGAATTCTGCTACCAAAGGACAGACGATGCAGTTTGGGTAGGAGGTGGGTAACAGCAAGGGAAGAAGTCTTTGGTTCATGTTCATGAGTGAGGAGCAACAGAGTATGAGACTGACAGGTGGATCGGTATGTTATGGGCAGGAACACAGAATGAGAATACTGGTAGGTAGAACCAGGATGAATCGTCTTCACATGGTGCTGGGGAACCGTAGGGACAAGGTGACGGCTTCAGACACTCAGACTAAGACCTGAGTAAAACTGCTACCCCTTTACACTGAAGGGAGTGAGCTGAGATGGTCGGGGAGTCTGATTAGGATGTGCCACAGACGCCTCCCGCAAGAATCTCAGGCATATCCAGCTCAGAAGAGACCCCTCAGCAGACCCAGAGCATGCTGTAGGGATTATGTATCCCATCTGGACTGGGAATGTCCTGAGAAGAACTGGAGAAAGTGGACAGGGAGGGGAGCCTCTGTTTCCACCAGCTAAAGGCCACTTTTCCTGATCTGCTACAACAACAAACGACAATAAGCGCCAGGAAATAGACCGAGTCAGACCAAAATACACTGAACAGCATTTGATTGTGTCCAGGTCTATGTTTGTTAATGAGATTGGGCTCCTTTAAATATAAATAAGTGTATTTAGACTTTTTAAATGTACAAACCTGCATGTTTGTGCCACCTCATATTATTCCATCCAGCAATATTGTTGTGTATGTTGCAGAAACCCTGAATCCGTTTACTAAATGCAGTGTCAAAGCGAAACAAGTTTTGTTGATCCCACTCACAAGCAACACCTCATACTCCAGCTTTACTCGGTTTTCCAACAGCTTTCAGTGAATGTTGTCGCCGTATCGTTGATTCACGAGAGTTCTCCCCAACCTACCATGTGCAAACAACTGTTAACTAATATGTTTGCTATCGGGCCATGCTGAGCTGATTCAATAAAAGGTTCCTTGCTAAAAGCTAATTTAGTCGTATTTATTGTACCATAAAAGCCAATAAATAGAGATAGAGGTTATATATATTAGTGTAATTCTTCATTATACAACCTTAGCCACCATACCTAATTACACTGTCTGGTCAGCTTCTCTATCAATTATTACTGATGATCTAAAGTCACTACAATATGTACACAGTCACAGAGTGGATGCTAACTGCACCATAATGAGGCAAACACAGGCTGTGTGCTGCTTCTGTCTTAATCAGTGTCCTCCACCTGCAAGGTGTACATGAAAGGCTTTTGACACAAAGAAAAACAACGACTGGCGTGTCTCCAGTTACACTCATGTGCATGCTCACCTTTTCAGCTCTGCTTGTTTATGGGAGGAGATCATGTTGGAAGCCCCAGGCGCCATGCTCCTCGTCTCGTACTCTTTCAGTTTCTGCTTCAACTGTACAATCTGCAGAAATGCAAAAGAATACTGAAATCAGTCAGAAATCAACCACTGATCATGGTGAGTGTGCAAGCAGCATAAAGAAGAAGCGTGATGGAGATTTTCTGTTTTTGCATTCAGCACGTTGGTGGCTTCACGTTACCTCTTGCCGTTGCTTCTCACATATCACTGCGTACTGACCGATGTGACTGTCCAGGCTTACGACATTGCTCTTCAGCTGACAGAGGGAAACATTGCATGATTTAAAAGTGTTTCGTATATTTACAGCCCAAGAGCCGCAGCGATTATATTGCAGTTAACAAGGATGAAACCCTGTGATAGCTTTAATACGTACCGAGGACTTGATCTCCTTGGCCCTGTTGGCATATTTAAGCGTGTTGTGGGTGTCATCATAGGACTTAGATGAGGGGCTGACGTTGGCAATCATAACCGTCCTGCAGTTCCCTCCCAAAGAGTCCTTAAGCAGCCGTGTCAGCTTGCTGTCCCGGTACGGTATATGAGCTTTCTTACTCTGGAGCCAATGAGAAAACCCAAGTTTAGCCAAAACGCTCAGTTCATCTAAAGTACACACAGACAACATGGAAAACTCTGGAGGTCTCATTGTGCTTACTTTGAAAAGGTGTCAAATAAAAGTTTGAAAGGAACAAATACAGAACCCAGAAATCCACTACTTTTGTCAAACAACGCATAAATCAAAATTAAAAACAAACAAAAAAACAACAACTGTGTTTTTCCTGCGGTATGCAGAGGAGGAAGGATGAATGTGAGGTGGACTCCATCTGGACTTGCTCCACAAGAGAAGCTTAGTCACATTATACTGTTTGGTGGGGACCAATAAACCTAATGGGAACAAAATTCAGTATGGAGTGTTCATTTCAGAGCGCAAGTCTTTGTGCAGCTGCTCTGTGAACACAAGTCAGACTGTAATAATGGCATTAGATAAACTACAGCTGCTTAGGTGAGTCACAGTCTCATGGGCATTAAAGATAAGCTAGCAAAGGAGTGTAAAATGAGATCTTTTGGGGATCACAGCTGTGTCTGCACCTCTCCCTGGAAAAAGCCCAACTTTGCATCTGGATTCAGAACTCTTAGTTATAGCTCATGTCAGGTCTGGGAGTCTCTGGCTAACTGGGCCTTTAGGGGAAATCTCAGTTTCAATAAGAAAAGGAATCCACCGTTATTCCAAAACAAGCATCGAAAATAAATCTGAAGCTTAGTTTGTGGACTCCGTTAGCGTGATCCGTCCTAGTGAAGCTGTCACACATTCAGTGGTAGATGATCACCTACAACCTATAGGTGAATGGAAGGATGAAGCAGCTGCAACTACAGCAGTAGTTTCACATGTTTGTCTTTAAACTTGTCATCCACTTTTACATGTCAAAACAACAGCAAAGTGAGCTGAACCTCTTCTTGTTCAAAACATTCCAGGAGCTAGGAGTCTATCAATAATCAGGCACCAGCGCCGGTGGCAGTGCTGGCCTTACATAATGCAGCACATGCACAACCACTGAACGCTCGTTATCATTAAAACATCCAGCGGCTCACCAGCGCAACAACTGGACTGTGGGTGCAGGTTTCAGCCTTCATCAGGAAAGCAAATGGCTGCAAAGTCACAGCCGATAGGGACACATGCACTATTAGTTTTTATATATTGCAAAACACACAGTTCAGAATTTCACTTCCAACGGATGTGTCCTGTGATCTGAAAACAGGCCGTAACTGCTGCTTGTTAACCAACTCTAACAATAATTCCAGAGCTGAGGCATGGAGATGTTGTTTATTTATCTACATTTTTACAAACGTGATCAAGGTGGTGATGGAAAGTTTTGAACATTGCAAGGAGTCTGCTCGTGTGTGAAGAATGTGGCCGCCATACGTCAGTGTCAGCTTTCTGTCGACACACCGAGCAGACTGGCAGCAGCTCCAGACGCCCTTCATCATGGCTGGGAAACACTGGCCTTGTGTGGACGGAAGGCCAAACTGGAGGGAAAGGGCGCGTCGGCAAATGTATCTGCACTAGTCTGGACATCGCCTAAGGCAAACAACTTACAACAAAAACCTCTGTGCAGCATAGCATGAAGATGACACACTGAACAGCCCCAACAGACGCAGCAGACATTCTTCTCACTCAAACGAATGGCATGTCAGCCCAGACACAAGTGGGGACATTCTTTCCTGTAAACAATAGCCACAACATGAATTCCCTGTCTGCCAGCAGTAAACACTGGAGCACCAATAACCATGGGGACAGGATGGTGGTGGGCGTTGAAGCTGAGCACATCAAACCAGGAGTCGATGACTGCAACCCTCAGAAATGGAGGGCTGGCTATCAAACCCACTGGACAGCTTTCATGAAAGAACACAGTTTTAACCCAAGAATGAAGTAACCTGTTGGAGACGGATCGTATTTCAGCACGGCTGTGGTAGATTCTCACAGCGCTTCCTAAATGCATGTGGCCTGCTTGCGCCTCGTCCCTTGAGGCTGGTGTGTAAAACGAGAAGACTGCTTGACAGGTTAATGTATGCAACTGGAATGAAATAATACCCAAATACTGAGCTGACTCTCCACTTCCCAGGCACCCTGTTTCATATGGCGGCTAGCAGTTAACTTCAGATACCCACACCACAATAATCCTATATAAGCTGATGATCTGCTGACCAAACACAAAGAGAAAACTTGTCATAGGAGCTTGTGATGTCTGTGAAACATCATTATACTGTATCAGTAAATACCTCTGGACACATCGACATGTAGAACAACTTGTTAGAGTAATAATGACAAACGTTCCATGTCATATTGTTTTAAACATGTTATTAGCATGTGTAGCTGGTGACAGGGTGAAGAGCAAGCGGCGTCACAGCCCCGCTACAAGCCATGTCAACGCAAACTACTCACAATGTCACATTTTGCTCATCTTGTGTTTTTCTTTACAAGTGCAGCTGGTTTTCAATCACTTTAATAGTCCTGTGTGTTCAAAACTACTGACTCTTGCTTGGTTTTTCCTCATTTGAAATTTTGTCGCATGGTTTCTAAAAAAATAATTATTGTAACTTTTATTTGGCAGTCAGTCACAAAGAATGCATTTCCTTTGTTAGTGTTGTGAGCAGACGCTGAGCTGCGGTGCTGTATAACCAGGACGTGTCTTCTGCACATTGAACAGTTAAAATTCAGAGTATTATAACAGCGAGCAGACAACACGATTTAAATGTTATTTTTTGTGAACAGATCACTAATCTTTAGTACCAGCTGTCATTGAGACATCTGACAGATTGCTCCCAGTAAACACTATTTAATATTTAAAGGGAGACTACATTTTCTCATGATTTCTTTATAACTAGAGGAAAAAATGAAGGTTTTTTAGGAATGAGTGGGCAGCCGGGGCATAATGATCTTAAAAATGGGAACAGTGTTGGGTGTAATGTCAAGCGTACACGGATACTAACACCGTCCATAACCGCATGAATTCAGATTACTCTGGTTAGTTCCATCCTGGCTCTTATTTTCCTGGTTTTGCACAGGAAACAGCAGCAGAGCAGATTGTGTGAGCAGCCTTTTGTTGAGTTTGAGTTATTTTAGGCGTCACATCACCACATATCCGTGGTGAATGTAATTGATTGTGGTCATTATTCTGGTTTGGCAGCACCATGTTATCTGCTCTAAACACTGACGGGGACCTCGCAGGTGATTCTGATGATGTCGTTCAATACAAGCAGAGTAACACACACTCACCTTCGGGTCGGCCAGAGCGTTGATGACGTTTCCTAAAGCGAGGAGTGAGCGGTTGATGTTAGCACCTTCTCTTAAGCGTGCCCCTTTAGCGTTGGTAGCGCTAGCTCTCTCTGAGCCTGCCAGGTCAATCAGGCTCATTTTGGCAATGCAGACGTTAGGATTCAGGCTGGCAGTTCTGTCCTGCTGCCTCAAATATATCTGGAGAAAAGAATGCACACCTGTTTGTTTATTAACGGTGAGCTGTTGGTAGAGGTTTGTAAAGAGAAGTGTTGCTTCAGCAACATCCTTTCTGATAAACTGGAGATATACGTAACTAGCCAGTGCAAACGTTTTGCACATCATATTTTGTATTTATGTTGTTCATTCAGAGGTTGTGAAAATGATACTGAAACACCTGAAATACAGCATGGGACCGGGAAGAGGTGGCGTTCATGTCGGTGGGGTGCTGTGTCCTGTTTCGATTTCCAGAATCCAAAGCCTCGAGGATGTGCTCTGCAGATTTGGGCTGTATGGGAAAAAGAACAACATGACGTGAGCCAATAGAGGCCCACTTGGAACCACCACAGTGCACGGCGCTGAACAGTGAGGCGGCTTAGCATCAGACTGCTGGTGTCTGTAACCATATGTGAACAATGTTTTTCATTAAAGAAAGTTGACTTGTTGACAGATTTGATATTTTTCTCATTTACATGTAGAACACGCTGGTTTTAATTCACAACATTATCTCCAACTTTTATTTTACTAGGAAAGGAAACTACTAACTAATACTTTTATAGACTCAGCAGAACAGAACCGCTAAAGGTGACTGTTCTGCTCTAATCCTCTCCTTCACACCGTTCTGTGATAAAGTCATGACAGAAGGCCTTTTAAACAGCAACGCGTGCACTGCAACCATGTTATTGGCATTTATTCTTTTACAACCTCCGGACATTTGTGAAGATGATTTTCTAATTAAAAACATTTACACTGTGTAAAGCAATTGTGGGAAATCTAAATGAGATCTAATGTCATAAAAGGCAATGCCACCGATATGTACCTTTATTATGGCCTACAATGTGATGAGGGAGTCCTGAGGTCACTACTCACCTGGTGCAGTGACAGGCCCTGAACAACAACTCCTTTAGAACTGTCCTCTCTCACTGCAAGAGGGCCGACATTTGCCAACAAGTCTCTGATCTGTTCATTGTAAACCTGTGAACAAACAACACATCTGGCCAGGTTAAAGCTCTGTATGAGAAACCAGTCGCCAGTGAAATGTTGCTAAAGTGTAGAATAAGGTAGAGAGAAACGTGACTGAGTACCTGCTGCCACTCACATAAAGAAATAGCACGACTGTATGAAAACCAACAACACACAGAGTTCACATGCTCACCTCAAGATACGAGAATGCAACGGCAAACTCCTTCTCATCCTTGGCATCATCCATGCGTTTGAACAGCTCTTTCATCGTGCGATACATGACCCCTGGGTCATCCTGGGAGCCCAGCATGGTGTGGGTCTTGCCTGCTCCAGTAGCACCATAGGCAAACACTGCAAATGACAACACATTACCGTCAAGATAAATGTGTTGGAGTACAAACAACTCTCATACTGGGCTCATCGATATGGCAAGCGTTTTGAAAGACAATGCGACTGTGATTTTAGTGGGAATGGTCATTTTTCTTTTCAGTTACAAAAAACCCAAAGTGACGTGATGTTTGCAGTGATCTGTACCAAACAAGCACATTCCCTCATGTCTGGACAGTCTGTAGGCCAGGGTGACCCAAAGCTACATGAATACAAATACCTGAGCACACTTTTTGACAACACATTCAAACTTGCCTCCAACACTGAGGAGATCCTCAGAGACTGTCAGCAGCAGTATCACTGCCCCCTGACTCCCTGCACTGGACCCCCCTTGCTCATCCTGCTTGTGTGCACATGCCAACGTGTTTGGCAGCTTGCATTCATTCACGTGTTACCTGTGCAGTTGAATCCATTCATCACACCATCCAGCACGCCTTTTGTGGTGTTCTCAAAAATGTCCACTTGAGTGGAGTTCTCGTCAAAGACTTGGTCAAAAACAAACTTCAGGTCTTTGTTAGCTCTCTTGTTGATGTTTCTGTTTCGCACTCTTTGTCTTTGTGATTGAAAACATGACGAGTCCTGTTCCTTTGGGTCAAATATGAGCATGTGGTTATCGACAACCTGGACCACATGTCGACAGTTTTCTCGCTTCTCAGCGTCGTTGGCTGGCCTCACCCGAACGACCACCTTCACGTGGCTACACACATTACTCGCCATGGTGGTCCCGACGTGTTACTGCAAAACAAAATAAAACAACAAGGCGTTCACTTAACTTCTCATGTTGCAAACACCATTGTAATTTTAATAATATGCCAATTAAATCAGACAGTGTGGATGGACAGAAGACAGCAGGTGACAGAGCTTTGCTTTGTGCCCAGTCGAGGGTAGTTTACACTGCTGAGTGCCATGGATAGAAATACAACAACGGATTAAGTTCACACAGTCCCTCAAAGGTTTGTCTTCAGTTAGGATTTGTGGCACTGCAGATAACTGGCAATAGGAGTGATTTCACAGCCTCATTATGAAACAACCGTGTAACCCAGTAGGAGACATCTGCTCTCGGTGCACATTGTGTAGCGCATGGTCTCAACGAGGGCTTCTTGACACTGGACAAAACACACATTGCACTGTTTTGTTTGTCTGTAATATGAAAAAACAGCATAAAGCAGGGGTAGAATTTACCGCTGCCTCTGCAGTCTGAGGCTGAAGCGCTGCAGCCTTGTCCAGCTGTTCAGAGCATCAGCCTTCACCATGTTCACGCCATTGTCTGTTCTTATACAAACTTGTCATGTCTCATTGAGGCCCCAAACAGCCAGTGCTTCTCTCATCCCTGCTGAGATGTTCTCACTTGTATGATCATCTGGGAAAAATGCTGTTTGCAAGCAGCAACTTTTCAGTTGGAAGTCCTCATTATAAAGTAGACGGGAAGGCTTATGTAGGGCTCTGTCGTCTGGCTGGACCACACGTCTGCTGGAGCTGCACGATATTTCACTTGTGACAGCTCTGTTTCAACTTGTGCCTCGCATTTTTGATACAGCTCTGGGACAGCGACTTGAGAAACATACTACACACTACTTCTCCAGGCACATGATGATGTTTTCAAAACCCTCCTTGGTATCTGTGTTAATGGGTATCATGGCTTCATACAAAGCTTTGTGGCACTGATTTAAATAGTCAAACAAAGTAGTTGTGTGTGGCAGCAACAACTGCAAGACACTAAAGACAGAGAACGTCTTTTTGGTCAACATCCTTTCTTCTATAGCTGAAACAGCTCCATACGACTGCCAGCTTCGTTCTCCTGCTGCTTGTTTGTGTCACTGTGCAGATGTGCAGCCTGCGCATCAACAAACTGGGTCTTTAAAACACTATTTTAAAGACAGTGCATCCAAGAAGGCTTCTTTTGTAGATTAGTGCTAAAAAAAAGAGAATCATGCAAGTCATTGCTAAAATAATACATTGTTCATCCATAGTTTCAAGTGTTAATGCCAGAAAATATGACCGTCCTAAAGCTTGTATGTATGGGACTGAGAGATGCAACACAACAGCAATGCAGCAAAGCCTCCTGTAACAAAGGCTGTAATGTGTAGTTTAGTAAATGTTTTAGAGAGGTTGTATCCACACTGACAGACATTTTGGAGACTCTATTAATAATAGTATAATAATAATAGAGTCAACATATTATGAAAACTGTGACATACACATGCCTTATCTCAGCCAGCCAAACAAAAAGGTGTATGCATCACACATGCTGTGCCAGAAGGTGATCATCTGCCAATAACTGAATGCACACCACATGTTTACATGTTTATAATCATCTACAGCTGTTTTGTTCTGAATCAAACAGTCCTAACATGCAAATACACACAAGTACATGTCTGGTAACAGCAAAAGTGCATCTTTGTGAGACTTTATGGAACAAGTTTTGCAGTTTACAGCATATAATCAGGCATTTAGGATGATTATAGGATATATATATATATATATATACACACTACTATTTCTGATGTTGTGTGACATGTCTAATGTTGCTGTTTAGACAGCAAATAATTAATTAGGAAAGGATTTTTTTTTTTTGCAATTTTCCTATGAGCTATAACAACAAAACGTTATCATGAATCAAACCAGGTCATTTTGCATTATTTACAGTTCAGTCACAATGGGGAGGCTACAATCCCTTTTTAGAAAGTGGAGTTAGTTGAATATGAGTTGCATTAGTCCTTTAAAGATATTTCAGATAAGCTGATTTGGTTATAATCTGTGGCACAGAGCAGGTAAACTAATGTAGAGACACCTGGATATTTGTGTGAGTGTTTGGGAGACGACCGGTTTGTGGCTAACACCGGAAAGAGTAATCACACTGACGTTAGCTAAGAGTGGGTGTGCAACGTTTGTGACTGTATTTACATGCAGACTGGCCTCTACTATCCCACAGGTAGCAAAAATGAGCCCCTTGCCCCTGTGCCACACGTTAAAGGGACACTAAGGCAGCAGGGGTAAAGAAAGTGGGCGCCAGTTTTCTGTCCCGTTCCCACAGTGAGGTTCAACCACACAATACATCTCACAGTTAAAACAAGTATCTCTCGAGCTTTGAAACGTAATGAAATATATACTGCTAGATAAGTGCTTCTTTTATTAAGCTAGCATGGATATTGTAGTTGAAAGACATCCTGTTATACGGCAACAATCCCACCAACGTTAACCTGACAGGGTTGGCTAACGTCTGCTAGCATGCTATGCTAACTGTCGCACAATCTCCAACGGTAGCTCAGCTTTGTCATTAGCTTAGCTTCGGTCACTTCAGTTCGAGTGCAACTACTCTGTCTTACCTTTTGTAAGAAACGGCTGTCTTTCATTTCACTACCACAGAACGGTTCTCACATGAAACACAGGGAGCACCGTCAGAACAAAACAGAAACAAAGCTTGCTAGCGAAGCCCAGGCGGTGATAGCTAGCACGACTAGCGCCAATATTTTCAAAAACGAGCCCTCTTCCTCGGTCGCAGCGGATTGGACGCGGACCGGGTGACGCAGCGGGTGACGCAGCAGCAGGTGGAGCTACTGCTGTGGCACACTACGGTAAGCGACAGCTAATTCTCTGAGGTGTAGGCTCGATTCTCAGGCACCAGGGCGAATACTTGTAGATGTAGCTGACTGTAATCTTGTGTGTTCGTTGCCATGCCTGCGGCCGGTCATCCAACGTAGCGGCACAGCAGCAGGATCCACTGCACCGCTGCTTAGTCCGGGCTGACATGCCCAGCCTACAGCAACCAGCGTGTGCTAAAGGTTCTCTATAGACATCTAGTTAATAATGGCTTCCTCAAACATACAGCCACGTCACCACGCATCCATAAGAGTGGTTCACGTGTACATGTGTAACCCCACGCATGCAGTTAGCTCCAGGCTTTGGTGCTTATAGCAGCGTAATTAGCTAACGACCTGACCTGGCTCAAACCACAGCTCTGCTTTCTGTGGCAAACCCCTCCGAAGTGGCACACGGATGATGACAGGCGTGTAGTTGAGTCCTCCTGTTAGCAGCTAGCCCCTACAGCCCTCTGCTTTAAGGTTATGCTGATGTGACCTCCTGCCTACTCATAGCTTAATGGCTAGCAGCTAGCATTTTGCAGCAGCGCTAATAATGAGAGGTGGGCACAGCTACCATCACAGGCCCTGGACAGCATACTTCTTCCCAAAGTAAATAGTAATATCCCTGTTAATGTTATGTCCTAAGAATCATTCCCCATCCTAAAGCACAGGACAGGACACTACAGAGGGCTGTTTTAGAACCCTCTCAACCAAATGGCCTCTGTGCTGTACAAACTAGGTAGAAATGTTGGCCACATTACCGTTATCTCTGATTGTATGCCCACGTCTCAGAGTGTGGGGAAACTGTTAAACCAAGGCATAAAGACTGGTTTGAACCAATAAGTTAGGACTGGGTGCGCTACTGTTTTGTCATTGCCACCTGTTGTGCTTCGGCATGGTCAGATCTTGACCAGTGTTCACGTTGGTGTTGCTTCTCTCCTGCTCACTGTGCTCACATATTCTGCATTTTAATCCTGCCCAGTTCCCAATAAAGCTGTCGTCATTTTCATATTCTTCTGCTTCTATTGTCAGAGTATTAAATAGTGACTGAACGCAGCCCAGTAAGACCACATGGCGACTGGCAGTGACCCGAGCCATTTCCAAGCTCCTGCTCTGCTGAACCACTGATTTCACTGCTGCAGTGCTGTCTGACGGTCCCACCACAGACACTACAGTCTGACGGTCCCATCACGGACACTACAGTCTGACGGTCCCGTCACAGACACTACAGTCCGACGGTCCCATCACAGACACTACAGTCCGACGGTCCCGTCACAGACACTACAGTCTGACGGTCCCATCACGGACACTACAGTCTGACGGTCCCATCACAGACACTACAGTCTGATGGTCTGCCACGGACACTACAGTCTGACGGTCCC